GAGAGAGAGAGGGAGAGAGAGAAGGATGATTGTGCGTGGTAGTCTTGCCACTACTCGCTTTACATTTGTGGTTCAGGCTGCTCTTGCTACCCGGACGACGCCATGACCTTGTTGCACTAGTGCTAAGGCGTCGAGCTTTTCCTAATAGCGTCTTGTGTGATTGTTCTGCACACCCGCATCGAAAGTTGGTTTCCACTTCAGTCAGACCTCGAACCACATGCCTCGCCTGGAGTGTCCGAGTGTGAGCGCCGTACCCACGTTTGAGGGCCCATGCCGGGGCCCATCCCAAGCCCCGTGTCGTTTAGGAGACGAGACAAGGCGAGACCTGGACAGGGAGGTTGGTGGACAGTTGTGTTTGACAGTGTTTCCTATTGTCTTCGGTGAGTTTCCGGTCATGGAACGACAAGACTTGAGCCCTGTCGCTTTCGTGGCCGCTTCTCAAGCAATGGCCACGCCCGTCCGTTGTCACGCCGTCCTCGTCAATGTTGCTGTCCTCTCGGGCCGATTTTCAGCCAGCCGTGCGTCATTGTCCGCATGTCAGGTGCGATGGCTACGCTTGGACGACCTGGATTTCTCCGAGGCCAAGCCTTGCCTGGGTCGTTGCGACGGCATTATGAAGATGTCAGATTTGAAGAGAAGCTCTTGAAGAGATTGGTTCGGCTCGGTCTCTAGGATGGTCCTATGATGTCCAATGGTCTGGGAAGGTTTCGGACATCGTCAACCCTTGGAACGAGAACCGCTCTGCAGGGCTCCAATCTGACAACGTTTGCCAGGAGTCGTGTGCCGATTTCTTTATGTTGACTATCTCAGGTCAAAGTCTCCAGAGATGGCCAGGCGAGGGGCGAGGGCGAAGAAGTAATGCCTCTCTTTTCGATCTTTTCGATTTGTGTTTCTTGCCCGTCCTTACACTTTCCTCTGTCCATCCTTTGCTCACTCTTCGTCTCCTTCTCCTTTGCACTTGTTCTCCTTACTCCCCGCGCGTGCCTCAGGAGCTGCCTCATGCTGTCGGGCGGCAGGTCTGCGAGCTTGCTGCGACCTCACTTCAAAAGCAGATGAGACGATGTGCTATAGGGTAGCCCTAGGCCATGGGCGCGGAGCAGACCGTAAGGCCACTTGAACTTAGCAGGTATCAAGCAATGAAGAAAACATCTTCGTCTTGCTGCTTCAACCGATGTGATGTGCCACCAGCTTGATCAATAATAATCTTCTGTGCAAGTTACCATTCTGGTCGATGGCTTGTTCCAGCCATTTCATTTTGGAGCCGTAGTTTAGTGGATGATTTTGATGTCTTGCTGTTGGTTGCTTCCTAGCTTTTTGGCTTCGCGGCTTCTTGGCTTCTTTCCGGGCTTCCTGGCTTCTCGGCTTTGGGATTTAGAGAGTGCTTCTCCGCTGGTGTTCCTAATGATCAACGAGATCTGTTTAATCATCGTCGGAAGCTTCTCACTTGCAGGTTTTCATGGACGGGACTTGCAAGCCAGGCCAAGCCAAGCCATGTTTGAAACTGCCCATCTCAAGATTGGTGCCCCTTCTGCTTCAGAAGGTGTGCTGGGAAAGAGGGGGGAAGTACGGCCCCCCTAACGGCGCTGACGCCATGCGCCAGCATGCTTCTACCAGGCCCAAGCCCGCCCAAACGCACTTTAAACCAGCTAAACCATGGGCTGTGCAAGTGTCAGCCAGGACATCAAAGAACGGCTCAAACCAAACAAAGCATCTAGCTAGACAAACCATCAGTTCTGCACTCCCACACGTCAACAGGATTGTGCAACTCCGTCCTGACAGAAGCTTGAATAGCTGCATATAGCTGCATAGTGCCGCATAGCTGAGATCTCGGTGCATTGCAGGGTCCTAGGTCCCAGCAGTCAGGTCGATCACCGAGTCTTCACGGCGGAGCCATCAGGCGCCACATGGCACCAAGGCGTTTGTTTATCGCCTTGGATCCGTTGCAGCGTCCAGGTTACATAGATGACAGCCAAGAGGCCAAAGACAAAGTCGAAGCCTCGATGCCAGATTGGCGTCGACTTCGTGTCACACTGCAGGTGGAGACTGCGACTTTGCGCTTGGAATCTGTACCGGTGCCAGCTCCAGCGCCGATCTTTCCTAACGGCCGCCATAATGGCCCCGCAGCCCAAACGCCCCACGCTCCTTATCCATTGCCACACCCTGCTGCAGTGCACCAAATCACAGCGCCCCCCGTGCTGGCAGCTTCCCCACCGCACTGGGGCATGGGGGGCAGGGCGTTTGCACCCCCTTTCTCGAGCCATCCACACCATGCATGGTGGCTGGGCGCCTCAGTGAATCCAGAAAAGAAGTGCAGCACTCCTGTCTCTTGTCAGGCCTCCCCCGGGCAGCTTCCAGGCGCCAGCAAAGGAGCGACACCCTCGGGCTTATCTCGTCCCTTAGTGCTTGCGCGACTACTGTGGCCACCAGAGCAACGGGCGGCTGACTTAAGCTGGATCACCGTCGCCGTCTGCTTGCACTCCACTAGCCCCTGGGATCCCCTGACGACAGGGTCTGGATACACACACACACACACACGCACACTGATTGAAACCACAACGGGTAGAATATCGGATATGTTTTGGTTCGGGTTCGGCATAAAATTCGGGCTTTGGAGTTTAGGGTTTTTGGGGTTCCGGGTTTTGGAGTTGAGAGTTTCAGAGAGAACTGTTTGGTTTAGGGTAGGGTGTAAGGTTTAGAGTTTTGGGGTTTAGGGTCAACCCAAAGCGCTGTTAATTTCGACCCTATTTAGTTGAGGGGCTTTGTTTAGTTGTTGACTTCTTGCGAAGCTGTGGCGGAAGGTCGGGGGCACAAGGACAATCATGAATGGACTCGGAGTGCTTGGCGACAGGGGCCAAGGCCAGAACAAGAATCAAACTATATACCCCTTGTCTTGGTTCCGGAACCCGGCATGCCCGTGCAAAGCGTGCTTCCTGACTCCCTTCCTCTCCCGCCCTCTGTCGACCCATTCAGCCCAAACCCTCCTGATCCTTTGACCCCATGAATCCACGAAGTGTTGTCGCTGCTCGCAACTGCTTGTTGTCGGTCCACAAACACCTATCTTTTGTTGTTTTTTTTCTGTTTTGTGTGTTTTTTTTAATGTTGTTTTTGTGGTTTTTTAAATGTGTTCCTGGATGGGTTGTCCCCAGGGACTTTCTGTGGTTGGATTTGGTGAAATTTGACGCTTTTTTCCTGGATTTTGACGCTCTGCCCTCGGCGTTGTTGTATTGTATGTGTTTTTGTTGTCTTCCTTGGTGGTGTGTTTGTTATGTTTTTTTGTGTAGTATTGGCTGCTTCTGGATGCATTGTCCCCAGAGACTTTCTGTGGTTGGATTTGATGGAATTTGATGCTTTTTCCTGGTTTTTGACGCATTGGTTGTTGTTTCCTTTCCTTTCGTTTTGTGTTTGTTGTTGCTAGCTGTTGTTTGAATCATGTGTTTGTTTTGTTTTTTTAATGAAGCGGCCAGCCATGGTGCAGGTTGCACCGCCAAAACTGGTACCTGGGTGTTAATTCCGGCCAGGCGCAACACAGAGGACTGGTTTTCGTTGTCCCCAGGAATTTGTTCCCGCAGTTAACAAAAACAAAAGTCCTTGGGTACAATACGGCATTGAAAAACTTGCTTGCAGATGAAAAATTGAGGACCAAAAAATCGGATCAAGGGGTGGTTGTGGTCACTTACTGCGCTTTCCACACGTGGACCGAAGGGTCTGAACTAACAGAGCGCTGTTTACCCTAAGCCTTAAACCCTCAACCTTACACCCTACACTTTCCGAAACTCTCAATTCCAAAACCCGAACTCCAAAACCCTGAACTCCAAAGCCAGTGGCCCGCCCAATCACTCACCACCCACCCATGCATGCAACCACCCTCCCAGCCACCAACTCACCAAAAAAACGTTCACACACACGCACACGCACGCACGCACGCACGCACGCACGCGCACACACACACACATGCACACACACACACACACGCACACGCACACACACACGCACACACACAC